TTATTCTTTTACATCCCACCGCTGTCACCAATGTAAAAGAATAATAAATGAGAGCGTTATATGAGGGTAATGGAAACGCTGTCACCAAATGAACTACACAATAGATCCTCAAGGGATGCTAACCCTGCGAGCGGCTGCAAGGAATACTGGTCACACTGGTCTGGAGGGCTGGCTCGTCTTCGTGGATTTACGAGAAGATAAGGGATTTCGGGATAGGGGTAAGGACTCCTAGGTCTCAGGTCCTGTGAAGAGTAGAGGTTATGGGCTTACTTTTGAAGCCGGAGATATGCATACGCAGAATCTCGAGTTCTCCTAGTCTCTAGTGAGTCGGACGGAAGGAACATTAAAAAAAACCAAATTAGAGTCAACAATATATTGAATCTACCCTGAAGTTACTAATACAATCGTTAACACGTTATTCTGCGCGTCGGGAGACGATGTAGCAAGATAGTGAAGAGTTGACAGTTGTACTAGTATAATTACACAGGTTAGTATAAAGAAATCTGTTACCTTATGTGTATATTAGGGCTTCAACCACGACACGTTCAGTCTTCTGGAACTCGGTCAGTTGAGGGTTGCGAACTTTCGAGCTGCCACAATAACCGGACTACACGCGAATTCTGCCAGAAGATACCCGGCCCCCGGAAAATCACCGACTGTCTCGTACTGGACGCTATCGCGTCCGGCGATCACTGCCCTGGGCGGGCAGTTACGGTGCCCCCGTTATCACCACTACTGACTACTGACTACCGACTGACTTGGCTACCGTCGTTTCTTTCTGTTTTATTGTCGTCGTACTTTCAACGCCGGTTCTAGTACCAAGGTCGTAGGTTCGCTGAGTTGCAGTTTTGGCGTTATGCGCCTATTTGGGTCACGGCTGTTGTTGTTAATAGTTTCGTGCTTTTTATACGTTAAACAATTATCAAACAATGCCATAACTAGGTCAATTGTTATACTTTGTATAATTTAAATGTATAAGTTAACTGTATTAATTATCCCTTATTTAATTTGGAATATATAATAATTATCTCGAATAATTATTATCTTTTCTATGCTACTTATTATTCCATTATCCCTTTATTCCAACTTCTCACTCACTTGCTACGCTTACATTACATCTGCTCCATATTTTGAAATATTTAGGAGACACAAAAAGACCTTTAAAAGAAGGTGAGGCCTTGTTAAAGGCTGGTCACGTTGTGTGGTGTGGCAAATATAATAACAAATTAGTCGGTTTGTGTCTAAAAACGACTAATTTAAATGGTGCCCCACATGAAATGAAATCACTGTAGATGTGTTAAGAGACGAGTGGGTGGTAAAGTGAACTTGTAAAGCCCGCCAGGGAGGAATGTGCGTGTTTTATTATGCATTAGTCTAGCATTCACCAGTTCCTCATTGAAACACCTTTCTTTGAAAGTTTCTTTTGCTCTGCTGCAGTTGTAATAGAAATTTTAATTAAGATCTATGTTAGTGTATATATTTGATTAGGTTAGGTAGGCACATTATATATAATAAATGTTGCAATTCTGTTCAGCAAATTTACTTGAAAAAAAAAATCTGTTGATAAAAAATGTTGTGAACACACGACATTTACTTTTTAACATTTTGTTACCTTATTGTGCTTTATTTAATAATATTTAAAATGTTTATAACTATGTTATGTGTATAACTAAATACAACGTGTTTTGTTACCCTACGTCATAGTTCAAAATTTTACCGCACCGTACCGCCTCTTTCGTTTGACATCGCCAATAGTAAGTTTTCAAAATTTAGCAGAAAATCAAGTTTTTTGTTATGTTTAATTTGTGAAATCCCTTAAAATCCTTTATATAATAATATATCAGAAATTTAAAGGTGTAAGACGTATTTATTCCAAAAATAACGTCATTTCTTAGAACGAAATCTTTGCGAAAGATTTTCAAACACGATTATCTCAGTTCAACCAAAAGCGAGTTACAATAGTTTTCGTTGTATGGGTCGATATGGTGTAAATAAATAAATTTTGATTGGTGGTAATTAGTTTTACTACACACTACACAGCATACAAATTGCGATGACCCAAAAGCTATTTTGTAAATAGTTATCTTTCTATTTGTAAATACAAATCTATAGACGATTAAAAAATTTCAAAAATATAAAGAATAATCCTTTCATTTACAGTTTCACCTTGTTTTATTTTGCATGTATTAGTACTGAATAATTGTTAGTTTACAGGCACTTCCAATCTGTCAAAATGTAACTAACTACACAAAAAAAATTATTGCTAAATTTACAGGAGTTAAACTGGGATTATTGAACCGAGTATACATAGAATTTTGATTTTATTATCATTCTGCCGTTTGTTATTTTGCAACTTTAAATTGAGTTTTGTGTATTATTAACACTGTTATAGTAGCCTCGTATTTCCGTGAGACTGTGCAAAAATATATGTATCTGTAATAAAATCATTCAACAAAAAGGTACTCTACCAGGAGTCTGTAAAATTATCAATGACTCAGACGTATAATAATACAAAGTTTCCAGATTCCACTCGATATTAACATTCAGACGTGCCTGGTATAATCTTTTAAAATATGAACCAGATATGAACAATCAACCAATTAAGTTTTCATCGAACTTATGACAAGTCCACGTGGACAAAAGCCAATGAAAACATCGGATATCGCTGTTATGACAAATCATAATGCATTATCTTTTGTCGGTAGACTTATTCATACTTGGGGTAAGATTATATCAGTATTTGACTGAGCTTACGGAGTCATAAAATAAGGGATCCGGTTTCGACCGTCCAGTGCCGAAGGCACGGGACGGGGAAAACTTAGGTAGGCAAATTTTTATATCTTATTTTTAAATTGCGGAGATGACCAACAGATTTTTGGGAGACAAGAATATTTTTAGTAAAGTCATAACTGCTACAGCGTTCAGTTAAATTCAAATTTCAAATAGTGAACCGCAAGTTAGTTTGGTAGTGACTTTTTTCAGTGTTCTTTATACGGAAAACATTTTATATTTTACGTCTTTTACTTTTTTTGATACGTTTTTACGTGATTATGTTTTTATACGTTTGATAATTTTAAAATATTGCGTCCGTGGTGCGATAATAATTATGTAACTGAAGAGACAATGGAACCCTCTAATCGATTGGAAGATTTACAAAGGCGTGTAGTAAAACGTAAGCGACATTTTCAATACCTTTCTGATGATGCCAAACGTATGCTAAAAAATGTTTATGAAGGACTGTGTGCTGAATTGTCTAATTCAGAGGCAATTGCAGAAACATGTTTTTTAACCAGAGTTCCCAAAGCAACCTAATACAAAATTGTAGGAGAAACATCTTCTTCTAGACAGAAGAGAAAGGATTGTGGCAAATTCAGAAAAATAGAACCGCACTTAATTGAATCTATAATTAGAACAATATACCAAATGTATGCGGCTAATATTTTTCCAACTATTGAAAGCCTTCGAAGTGAATTAGTTCGAAAGTGCATTCTCTCGTGTTCAGCAACAACACTTCGATTATGTCTTAAAGCCAATAATTTTAAGTACAAAACTATAGACAAGAGACAGACATTAATGGAAAGTACTAGAATAATTTCTTTAAGAAACAATTATATCAGACAGATAACTGAGTATCGAAAAATGAAACGAAATATTGTTTATTTAGATGAGGCCTGGTATGATACTCATGACACCGTGAAAAAAAAGTTGGACAAATAATAACAAAAAGTGTTTCAACTCAGTACCGCCCAATAAAAGAAAGAGAATTATAATTTTACACTGCGGTGGAGAAAATGGATGGGTCGACGATGCATTATTAATATCTGCAAAACAAATTAAAAACGCGTCTCTGGATTATCATGACGATATGGAAAGTTCAATTTTTGAATCATGGTTTGAAAAATGTCTTATTCCGAAATTACTTAAAGATAGTGTGATTATCTTGGACAGCGTACCATATCATTCAAGATTAATGAAAAAAACTTCAAATAATAGTTGGAATAAATTAAAAATTCAGGATTTTTTATTCACGGAAGATTTGTATTTTGAGACATCTTATATTAAAAAGCAATTGTTGGAGGTTGTTCATAGTAAACAGTACGAAAAGGAATACGTTGTTGACAACTGTGCTCATTGTAACGGGAACACTGTGTTTAGACTTCCTCCTTATTGTTGTACATTGAAACCAATAGAGTTAATATGGGCTCAACTTAAAGGAAATATAATGAGAAGAAACGTTGCTCCAAAATTTTTTGTCTACTGTTCTCCAGTTAATTAGAAAAGAAGTCACAAAAATTACAGCAACCAACTGGAAAAATGTAATAAAAATAAAACATGTGATCGGAGTGGAAAATGACTATGTTAAATATTTACCAGCATTAACCAAATTACATATAAATTTAGATGATACGAGTAATACTAGTGATAACAGCGATTCTGAGTAGATAGTAAGTACGTATTAGGTGTATTCTCATTTTGCTTATATATCTTTGAAAACAGGGTATAAACACACTTCTTGATAGGACAAAAATTATTAATGTTTTAGGGGAGTATGTCAACTGAAACTGTCATTCTCGCAGAATAACTACTATTATTAACAATGTTTTATATAGATATTATTATTTTACAATAAGTTCTGTTCAGTCGAGTCGATTAGTGTTATCACTCCCAAGATATATCACAGAAGTTAAAAACACCGATATTTTTTATTTAAACTTTATAGAAAATGAAACTTTTTGGTAAATGAAATAAATAAAAGTAAAAACTTTTATTTAATTTAAAATTAGATATCTACGCTACTGTTCTACTACTATGTACTACAATAAAGGAGTGGTAACTCTAACAGCGTTGCCATTTTACTAGTATTTTGCTTGTTTTGGTCTCTGTAAATTTTCTCACGAAATTACGTGCCGACTATACTTCAGTTTATTTTCAGTGATAAGTTTTAGGTTATGTGTATTGTCATAAAATTCTATAAAATAGAATAAAATAAAAAAACAGGTGGGTTTTACTTAGTTTATGTGTGGCCGGGTCAGCTAGTTTGTCTTAAATGTAACAAACAGATTTGTAAATGAATAAAAATTATTACAATGTATATTAAACGTATACAAACAATGTTAGAAAATAGATATATTATGTTAAAAATTAGGAAAAATATTAAACATGTTCTGTTCCATAGGTTTAGATATCCAATATCCTAAACCAGCTTTCTGAAAAGCTTCAAAAAATATTTTTTTCACAGCCGAATAATTAACCACACATTCTTTAGCGTCTGATACAGTTAGTGGTAAATTTTGGTCCTTTGAAATTCTGGATAATCGTCCATATAATAAGGCATATCTGTTAGCCAAACTATGTTTACAAATCGTGGAAATACTTTGTTTTGGTTTACCCATATCACATATCAATATTTCAGGTTTTTTCATGCCCAAAAACCAAATCACAGAAAAATCTGGTGCACTTTTTGGTATGCGTTCCTCAATAGATGTTACCATTAACATATCTGGTTTATTTATGCGAAATGGTGACGGTAAGTCATCTAATATATCTTTAACCCTTCCGTAAAGTGCCCTACTTAAATGCGTTTTATTCATTTGGCTGCCAACTACCACCGACCTTAAGTACACGGGATCAATAAAATTAAGCAATAGAGATCCTTGTAGTCCCAAGACGTTCCATTTGCAAATTTTGTCAGAACAGGACATAGTCTTCAGAGGTTCTCCCTGTTTAATTCCATCCCAAGTTTGAGTGATGGGATCTTTAACAGGTATTGAACCTTCGCCAGATTCTAACTTACTTCTTAATAGACCACAAGTTGTCGGATTTGATCCTCCGCTATTATAAACAGTGGCATCACCACAAGGAGATTTGCTTGTATATAAATGAAACTCGATTCCTTCTTTTAACCGATAACCATTTCCGCAAATCTTTGGTTCAAATATCGAGTTTTCACTAGTACTACCATTGAGTAGCAGTTCAAGCTGGTCATAAAAGTAGAAAAGCAAACATCTTCGGGATAAAACTTCTGCATGCATATCATTAAGTGCGTGTCCGCTTAAGCACATATTCTTTCCAGAGATGCACTTCGTACCAGTTGTCACACATATTACTTCAGCAGTTGAAATATCTGAATCTTTCGTCATCACAATTCCTAGAAGGAAATAAATTCATGTTAATAGTGTTAATAAATTTTTCGATAGTTTGCAATCAGGGCTTAGAAAAACAACACAAAGAGAATCACAAAATATGAAAAATTACATATGGATCAACTAAGAAATCCCGAGATAAAAGTCAAGTCAACAGCTAAGGAGAAAAATGTCAAGAAAATAGAAGAGCTAGAACGAAGAGGAAATAACTTTAACATGCAGAAAAATACTAATAATTGTAAGAAACGGCAGCTTAGAAGGTTAAGAAACGAGAACAACAAATTTATTGCATACAAGAAAGAACGTGGGATAAAAGCTCTAAATGGGATAAATAGGATGCGGTCAAATACAAATTGAATTTTTAAAAAAGTTAAATCTTCCACTTCGAGTTATACCAGAAGTGAGCAGTAGCTTCGTTATTGTAAATGGAATACCTTGTATATCATTGCATTTTTAGGTCCTTATGAGATATTCTTCTTTTTTCAAAAATTTTGACAGAGACAACCTTTTTAAAGTTAGTATCTCATCCATTTACATTCATAATGTCTTGTAAACCATTGCACGCAAAGAGTAGGTAACATTCTTTCAGGAATTTACATCGAAATCGAATTTATAACTACAGGGTGATCACAAATGATACGCCATTTCTGTAAACTTCAAACTATAGTAAGTCAATAATTTAAAATGAAACATTTATTTTATAATTTTAATGAAAAAACAAATCAGTTGTCTTTCAAATATTATTAGGGTTCCCTATGCCTAAAGTTAATACTTTTAGAAATAGTTACAGATACGATATTTATTTGTTAAACTGTTTGTTCGGGCTGTTAGGCTACTGTTAGGCTGTTAACGACTTCAGTTTCAGCTTACAAGCGAAGCAGTAACATCTCCAGAAAATGCCAACCCCTAGTGTTGGCGAAACGTCGAGAACTAATCTCAGAAGACAACGGCCGAATAGCCCGAACAAACAGTTTAACAAGTTAGACGATGGCCGTGAAAGCTTTACGCATTTTATTAAGATATTTATTGTTTTATTCTATTATTGGTACTTTTGTAAAGTGATAAAAATTGCCTTATGTTTTTAATCCTTTCCTTTGTAATTCTGAGTATGAAAGGAACTAAATCTTTCCGGCTTTAAGGCCGGATTCCTTTTGATAGATTTGGTAAATATCGCCGAAAGCACGTATAGTAATTTTTCTGTAAAGACCCAATCTAGAAAATTTATATTTCATCACGTTTCTAGCTAGAAGGGTACCGTTATGTTCGATGTTCGTTAGAGCTTTTTACCTTCTTAGAAATGGATACTGTCCCATAATTTTTAGGTGGGAGATACCCTCACTTTTTTTTTGGTAGTTTGGTAAATTTTTGCAAGAAAAGATTTACTTTGGAGTGGGCACTCGTTGAGAAAAGACTTACTTCTCGAGGGGCGTTTCGCCATATCTTACCGTCTCTGTATTACCTTCTCTGTGCATTTTTTTCTAAGTGTGTATACACTTGTATATTTGAGATTTTTGATCTAATATCATATTAGACTAAGTATTGGTATAGAGTACCTTTAATTTTAATTAACTTCAGTGCTTAATACAAGTAAAGTATTATAGTAAAGTAAATTAACTTTAGCGAATTAGTGCAGCAGTCATCAGGAATTACTGTAAGTTACCATAATCTTAGTATATCCACTTATCTGGGCGAATAATAGGGTATGGTATCATATTATCTGCAATCATCTGGGCGAATCAAAGTTCATCCATGTCTTCACCTGTAGTTGAGAGTAACTACTGATTTTTGTATTCAATTTAAAGAACATTCAATATTTTCTTACGAACTTTCCATCAGCTACTAAGAACTTTCAATAAATAATAATTACGAACATTTAGTTCTCGGTCATTAAATAACAGTGCGAGATAGATAATTAACTACGACCAAGTGCGGTTTGGTTAAATTTTTATTTCAGTAACCTTTTTGTATTCTTGTAAATTTAGATTTGATTAATTTTTGTTATTTGCTATAATTTTTATACATCTTTAACCCAGTATCTCGAGGTATGCCCATTAAACAGCAAAGAGAGCCTTTCTTTAATCAACTTTGGTTGAATTTTTTTCTTACTCAGCATTAGATTCTCTTCACTGATAATTAACCTGAGCATTATTATATTGTTGTATTTGTAAAGGTACTTATTATTCATATTACTGCTTATTTTTATATGTATAACACCATTTCATAATTGATGGTGTATTTTTATCTTGTGTGTACATTCAGCTACCGATATCATTGTGTTGTTGAATATATTGTTTTAGTTTTATGTATGCATTTTATGTGTCGACTCCTAACAAGTTTCCTGATACAACCATAACTCTGAATATTTGCTTTTTACCCTTAATTATTACTATACCTTTGACCATGAGAAATATCAGGTTGATTAAGTCACGTAGGTAAGTAGATGGACGGAGTTCACCTAAGATATTTATTATTGGTTTATATAGTGTGTTGACCAAATTTATTTAATAATTAACTGTTAATATCTTTTCTTGGGTTTGATCTCTGAACCTAAATATCTTTCCTTACCTCTTTTCTTTTCTAAGGTTTCTTAATTTTCTCCTTAAACCCCAAAACATTAAGTGGCGCCCTGTTTCTATCTTATCGTATCTTTGGTAATTTTACCCATCTATCTTTTTGTTTATTTCTGTATCTTTTCTAATATATCTTATCTTGATCTATCTTTACTTATTTCGTCCGTTGGGCCCATTCCCGATTCCAAAAGTTAGTTTCGAATCCACGACTCGCTATCCACCAACCATCTGGCTGCCGTCCGCAGTGTCTCCATTGGTGACCTTTCTAGCACCATCCAAAGGTTTCCGAGATTACAGCCTGAAAGAATGTTATCTACTTTTTGTGTGCAAGATCTTCAATACATTATATTTTTAAATGGATGAGCTATTTGAAAAGTTTGTCTGTCAAAATTTTTGAAAAAAAAAAAGATGAATAGCCCAAAAAATATGAAGTTTTAATCTATGGCACCTTATACAAATTTTATCTACAGTTTTACGCAGAATCTAAACATGCAATAATATACAGGGTTTCCCATTTAAAATAACTAAGTTGTTCAATAAGTAGCATGTCTGTCGAAATATTTAGTCATAACTAGCTCACAGATTATATGCAAATTGGATGTACCTGCATATTTTGTCAGTTTTTGAAAAAAATGCATATTTTGAGAACATTTAAATTTACCTGCATATTATGGTCATCTATACACCCAAAAATTATATTTAACAGTTCCCTCTGATAAGGTCGAACATTTTAAGGAATTTCCAAGTTGAATGGTAGTATTCAGGTAATTTTTTTTAAAACGATTTCACTGTAGTCATTAGACAACAATAGAGTATTTACAAGGGACTATTTATTTTTATTACTGTTATCTAAATGACTTTTATAATAATGAATAAGACAATGAAAGGTTGCAAAAATGAAATGTGCGCCTATTCAACACAATGTTAAAAACGCATTTCAAAATGTGGGTGCAAAATCTTAAAAAAGTCGGATAAGGTACTTTTTTAAGAAGACTTGTGTAAAACTATGATGGCAGCTGACATAGCACTAAGAAAACTTCATCCCCAATTAAAATAAAATCTTCAATTTTCGAGAAAAACTTCTACATCGTTGTGGATGAAAGTACCGATTCTTGTGGCAGATATATGGCACTTCAAGAAAATAATTCTACAAACGCATACTTAATAGCTTCGAAGCAGTTGGACAAAACTAATAATGTGGCGGTATCCAGATTCATACAGCAGTGTCAATCAAGCTTCTTTCTTCCAAACCCAGTGCCAGAAGAAAAGTTGTTGGTTCTTCTATCTGATGTTGCACCCTATATGATAAAAGTAGGAGAGAATGTAAAAGTATTTTACCCCAATTGGGTACATGTTACAAGTCTTCTGCACGGGATAAACCGGGTAGCAGAAATCATCAGAACAGGATTTCCGTTAGTAAATAAGCCAATTTCAAAGCCCCTCTAAGAGTGCAGATGTATAGGGAGAGACTGCCTGGAGTTAGTTTACCACCAAAACCTGTAATTACCAGATGGAGAACGTGGATTACCACGGTTATATTCTACGCTGAACATTTTGATGCCGTTAAATACTTAATTTTGGACATGGAGGACGACGCTCAGAGTGTACTTCAAAGTAAGCACTTGTTACAAAGTACAAGTGTAGCTAGAGATTTACTTTTTATTAAAGTTAATTTTGGATTTATACCAGATATTATCACATCGTTAGAGAGCTGACAAGTAAGTTTAAGAGAGTCCATTAGTACCATTGAAGCTTTTATGGCTAAGTCAACATTCCGGGTAAAGTTGGAGATCAAATAAGGCGCAAAGGGGAAGTGACTTTAACAAAGAATGAAGGGTTTAAATTTTTAAAAATAGTCAAAAATATCTACGAAAATAAGTCTTCTGACGAACATATACCATGTCCTTATATTATACTGCCAAAACTTCAATATTTTCCAATTACGTCGGTAGACGTTGAAGGAACCCTTTCTATGTCGAAATACATTTTTACTGAGAGAAGACAATCATATTTACTGGAAAACTTCGAAAAATAACTTGTTGTAAATGCCTTGTATAGTATTTCCAAACGAGAAATTGTATATTGTAATACTTTTTTGTGCCATTTTAAAATAGTAAATAATTGTATCTGACTATGTTTTTTTACTTACTATGTGTATTTTTCCAAATAAAAACCAATTTTTTATCATAGTACTTTTTGCACCCTATTTTGTTCTATTACATCATTAAATTTTATTACATATTGGATAACATATTTTGTAATATTCAATATTTGTGCATATTTTCATGAATAAAGATGCATATAAATGCGCATATGTTTTCAAAAAAATGTTGCAGATATTCCGAGCTCTAGACATAACTTATGACTATTGTCTATAAGTATATATTGTCTATAAATATATAAAGTAGAAGTTGAATTAGAAATATGCAGTTACATATTTTTAATTAAAAAAAATGCAAATTTTTCTCAAATAAGGGTTACCCAACATAATTTTTATTTATTATAAATATGATCACTCTTTATTATTATTAATTTTATGAAAAAAGTTATTCTTCATAAAAAGCTCTGCATGGTCTAAAACCTAACTTGCAACCATCAGATAATAAATTTTATCAATCTTATATGAGATATGTAAAAAATTATGAATTTTGCTCAATAGTAAAGTAATAAAGAAAAGTTGTTTGGAATTAAAACCTATGTTTTAGTACGCACTTAAGTCTTCCTAAGTGAAAAAAAATTACAAATTTTTCTCAAATTACTGATAACTAACATTATTTTTGGCGGACAACCGGAGAGTGGGCCACCGACTGGACAACATCCACTTTCATCCCTATATTCAAAAAAGGAACTCCGCTAGATTGCACCAACTACAAAACGGTAACCATAATATCCCACGCAAGCAAGGTTCTACTTCATATAATACATGAAAGACTAAAAGCTTTTCTATTGCCTCAGATATCAGAAGAACAAGCGGGATTTGTCCCAGGAAAAGGCACAAGAGAACACATCCTTAATGTGAGACAACTAATCGAAAAAGCTCGTGAATTCAATACTCATATGCTTAAGTGCTTTGTCACAGCCACCTTTACTTCCAAGCCATGAAGTAAAAAAGGCAACACCGCATTCTATGACGTCGGTAGTCCGATAATCAGCTGTAAGGTCTACCAGAATATTAAACTAATTTGAATTTTAGGAAACTGATATTTTGAAAACTTCAATTCATTACAGAAATATTTTTAGGGAAATTAAATTAATAAAACCTTATATATACCTAGTAAATATATATATATATATATATATATATATATATATATATATATATAAAGTTTTATTATTATTTAGGTTATATTATCAATAAAATAGAGTAAAATTTATTGCACTTAAAATACAGTGTCAGACAGTTAATCTTACAATCAAATGCAGTCAAGAATCTCTAGAAATTTTAAATATTAAGTAATTAAGCATATAAATAACACAATACATTAACACGACATTTAAAAAGATTATTAAAAATACAAAAGATATAAAATTTGTGCTAAGTAAAAACTTAGTGTAACTATTATGATTAAAAAATTCATCCTAAGAAATCAGACAGAATATAAATATGGTTCTAAATTAATCTAATTGAAAATTAAATATTTTACTATTTACTTATAACTTTTGTTGAATTTTCATACTTAGATGTACAAAAGTAGCAATTTTAAATATGAATAGGTTTGTTGTCATATAGACCAAGTTAAAAGAGGTATACATGAAAAATGTGTTGAATGTAACATACCATTTATAACTTGTATATCGATTTAAAATAGCCTATATTCTCAAAATATTTTTGAATGTAATACTCAAATTTGTTATCACTTATCTAAAAAGCAGATCTAAATGAGAAAGTCAGTTCTCTATTTGTGACCATCTTGTTAATTTACTATATTGTAAAATCCATTTCAAATCATTACCACTTAATCTATTCTTACCTACATTGACGATTACACTAAAATTACTGCTAACTATTACACTACATATTACACAAATATTATCACACTTGTGTCCCAACTGATTAATGTTTAATACATAGAAATATACACAGTCACTTGTAATTTTACTTGTCCAGTTTTTCAATGGGATATTATTGTCTAAATCTAATTGACATAATTATGTTATCTCTTGTTCCCTCTTCTTATGCAAAAAGTTTCTTCTGTCTTCGGGATTCCTTCTTTCTTTAGTACGATGAACAGTTACATATGATGGTACTTCAGGAAATATATTAGGAACTGCATTGCCTTTTAATTTGGGAAATATTAACTTTTCAATGTGTACATTTCCATCTTTATCTTCTCATTGTTCAGTCCGCTGAATATCATCTTCATGAAAATGTTTGGCACATACTACGGAAGATTTGGTAATTGTACAGCCTTCTCTATGAATAGAGCATAACCCAGTATACCTTATTTGGGGATCTTTGGGAAACAAAAACGTACTTTCTGCCTGTTTCGTTTTTAAAGTACTGGCATAATTGGTTTTGCAACCAGGTACACAACAATGCCAGAGCATCTGTAACAAAAAACAAAAGTATTATTATTGTTGTTTTTAGTTTACATATTTTGTAACAAGAAGCAAAAGTATTATTATTTTCAGTTTGTTTTGTAGGTTATATTTATACTTGCCTTTTAAATTTTCGTTAAGAATCTTCTAAAAGTTCTAAATTTAATGAAATTTCACTTATATTAATATTTTCTAATTAATTTAAACACAATTTACAAATAAAACATTCGAATAAAGTTAAAAAAAAAACAATAAATTCAACAAACTTTACAAGCCTTCCTATATGAAATGTTAAACCAAAACAAACCACAGTCGGACTACCACGCGTTGTTGCCAAATTTCTACTTCATGGCTTGGAAGTAAAGGTGGCTGTGGCTTTGTGGATTACACTAAGGCCTTCGATAAAGTCGAATGGCAGCAGCTATGGTCTATACTATCGGAAATGGGAACACCTCTCCACTTAATTCAACTAATTTGAAGTCTATATGAAAATAATAAGTGCACAGTAAAAATAAACAACACCCATTCCGATAATTTCAGAACAGAGGCAGGTGTCAGGCAGAGATGCATAATCTCGCCAACTCTGTTCAATACCTACAGCGAACACATTATGCGAAAGATACTAGACAGATGGAAGGGCGCAATATCAGTAGGAGATCAAAAAATCAGTAACTTGAGATATGCTGATGACACTATAATAATCGCGGCAAATAAGAAGAAATGGAAGACATCATGAGATGTCTGGAGGAGAAAAGCAAAACATACGGACTAAAGCTAAATAGGAGTAAGACAAAGATCATGATAGTAGACAGAGCTTGGAATAATTTTCAACACATTGAAGAAATTGGGGGCTTTGAAGTAATAAATATTTTCATATACCTGGAGTCCCTAATAACAAATGACGGAGGGTGTGACAGAGAGATATGTAGAAGGTTGACTATTGCTAGAACAGCTATGATAAAACTAGTAATAATTTGGAAAAATTCTTGCATAACAATACACACAAAACTAAGGCTGGTAAGGGCACTCATTTTTCCCATAGCCACATATGCATCTGAAACGTGGACCTTAAAGAAATCGGATAAAAATAAACTGGACTCTTGTGAAATGTGGGTATATTGCTGCATGTTGAGAATGTCCTGGATTGATCATCACACTACAGACAACACCACAGCACTACAAACAAATACAACAGAGATATTTGCAGTATTTTGGACACATTGCTAGAAGAACAGGTACAATAGAAAAACTGATAGTCAAGGGTAGAGTTGAAAAAAAGAGACCTAGCGGAAGATCTCCAAGCTGTTGGGTAGAATAAAAAAAATATTGATTAACCAAGGGTTACATGAACCCGAACAACTATCCCAGGATAGGGAGGATGGAGGGAAATCGTGAAAAAAATTTAAAGGCCTGATGATGTCACCACATCCCAAAAGGGATTAGGACTGAGAACATTATTTTTATTTATTACAAATATGGCAACACTTCCGTTCTGATAAAACATGATAGCAAATTTCACAAAACAAATTGGATTAAAAATTTAATGAACACTGAAGAATTAATAACTTTTTTTCTATTTGAACAGAAGAGTTATCATATTTGAAATAAGGAAAAATTATGTTCGGTATTGGTAATTTTTCTTTTTTTCAATTAGAAGGATGAAATTGCATATTACAACAAAGTTTTAATTGCCACAAACTTTAATTTTAATTTCATTGTAAAATATAAATGTACTTTAGTCTTGAGAGAAATTTATATTTTTTTACATACCTCGTATGTGATTGATAAAATTTGATATCTGATAATTGCAGCTTAGGTTTTAGACAATGTTAAAATTTTTGTAAAATTTTTTTTTGTAAAATTAATAATAAAAAAAGTTTCCCATATGATATGACTAATTGGACATTTCTGACATACTGGAGGTAGATCTGGACAACAACTTAAAATCCATCACAGTTAAACAATGGAGAATATTTGCTAACGATAGTACAGAATGGGAGAATGATAATAATAATGTAATAAGATGCTGAATATATCTTACCTGCGAGAACTTTCCGTTTAGAATGGATCACATCATTTGACATTAAATTTTTAAACTTTGCTTTCACCAGGTTTCCAATAGTATCAGACAAATGTTGATCTTGTACAGCATTTGGGGAAAAAGTAGGTATATCCCCACCAGTATAATTTTTCAGTTTACTTAAAGCAACAGTGGCAGCAGCTTCTGTTGCTGAGCTCTTATTGCCTCCAGTTCCTGTAAAAGTATCACCATTAATGTTTACTGAAACTTGAAACCTAGCATAAGGGTCATTTGGATCCTCATTATATGTGAAATTAACAGAAGGATATAGTTCACCCAAAATAACTGAAGACTTTTTAAATAATTTGTTTTTGATGTCTGTACTTATAACATTTGAAGTGGAAATATTTTTTAATGCTGTTGCTGCAGCTTCATATTTTGCAGATCGCTTTGTAGTGCCACTTCCATAATACTTTATACCATCCACTTCAACACAAATCTTAAACATAGGATAAAGTTCAGTAACACTATAATTCACATTTCCTTTTATTTCATTTAATGCTGATATTGGATTTTTTTCTAGACTGTAATTATTCTTATCGCCATTGGGTGGTGAGTTTATTACCGAACTGGTTGGAGACTGTATTGATGTTAGAACACTTACAGCAGCATTGTATTTTGCTTCTGTTTTAGAATTCCCTATTCCATAATAATATGAATTATTATATTCTACACACATTTTAAAAAAAGGTTTGTGGGAGGAACCCCATACTTCTACCAATTTATATTCTAATCCATTCCTTAAGTTGTTTAAAACTGAAACTGGGTGTTCAGAATTATTCCACTGAATTACTTCACTACAATCATGTTCATTCAACTTGTATTCTGGTTTATTATGGATTCCATTTAAATCTGCCATCGAAAAAGGTTTTAATGTTTCTTTTGATATGTTTTGACCAGATTCCTTTATATAATGGTTAGTTGTTGTCTTATTTTGGGAAAATTGAATAGATGTCAATGCAGTGCTAGCTGCCTTATGTTTAGCCTCATTTTTTGATTTTCCAATTCCATAATAGTCTTTACCATTAATATGAACACATATTTTGAAAAATGGTTCATGACTAGAACCCCATTGAGCAACCACTTTATATTGTAATCCATTTTGTATACAATTCAGGGCAGCTACTGCATTTGGATAACTACTTTCACAAGTTACAGGTTCTGGTGATTTTACAGTTTTATTTGCTGGGTTGATATTATCAGATTTAAGGCCATTCTTCTTAGTTATTCTCTCATTTTTGGAACACTGAATAGATTCTAAGGCTCTTCTAGCTGTATTATGTTTAGCTTCATGTTTTGATTTTCCAATTCCATAATAATCTTTACCATTAAGACGAACACACATTTTGAAAAATGGTTCATGACTAGAACCCCATTGAGCAATCAATTTATATTGTAATCCATTTTGTACACAATTCAAAAAAGCTATTGCATTTGGGAAACTATTGTTACAAGTTGATGGTTCAGGTGATTTTACAGTTTCAATTCTTGTTGTGGTTTTATCAGATTTATGTGCTTTCCATTTTGTTTCTACATGTTTTCTGCTCACTGTAACATCCATCATAAAAGTTAATGTTTTTATAGTTAAGATTAATTCTATAACATGTAACTACTAATTCTGTTTTGTTATAGCTGTTTATTTATGTTAAAATTTACTTTATAAAATCTGAAAACAACTTTTTCCACAAAATTGATAAATCATATTTTTATCACAACTGATAAATATTGTTTTGCAAAATTAATCAACTCTACCTGTGATTGGTTAATCATGATTCATGACTTCTGTTTTTTCTTTTGTAATCTGTCCTTAATAACTGACTCATATTCGTGATTCATGATGTTGTTTTAATTCCAATTTCTAATTCAATGATGTAATTCCAATTTATATTCATAAACCATTGATATGAAAGGGCTCTGGAGCTCCACCACACAATGGAAATATATCTTCCATTCTATATCACTATCACAGTACAGTAGCTAACAGTGCCACAATTTAATCAACGAATATATAAGACGCATATGCTTCTATATTCTTTGGGTTTATTCAGTTTAATGCTAAAAGAATTATTTATCAATATATTTAAAAATAAAATGTGAAATGTGGCCATAATGTCTGGTTGTTATAAACAAAACAAATAATTGACAAACGACAAACCTAACCTTGAGAATCTGAAGTATCAATATTACGTCATTGGTTATCCCTTTAGCGCGCAAAACTTTTTTTTTCGGTGTTTTCAAAAAATAACGATATGTACCTACCTTGGATATGTACGAGTTATAATATACAGTGTAGGAAAAATTTTATGGTCGGTATGCTAAAATTTAACAGGATATCTAACGCAGATATAAAATCATATTTTCAGCGAATAGACAAAGATAACAATCATATTTCCCCTTGGTCTCCCCTCCTCAAATATTTTTAACACCTATTGGCCATTAGTGAGACGAATAGTTCCGATCAGAGATATTTTACATATTCTCTGGTTCCGATCCTAATATACCTAAAAAACTAGAGGTGGGTCCTCCCGTTTTTTAAATTTTTATCGGAACCGTTTTTCGTAAACTGTAACTAGTTGATTCAAATTAGCGAGTACACAAACATATTGGCTATTATCGTTTATGTGTATAAGTATTGAAGTGAAAGAACCTAACGAAGGATATATTTATTATAACTTGAAAAATAAATTAAACAATACAAATAGTAAAGATAATTCATAATGTCGTGGACCTGACGTCATTATTTAGTGACGTCGATCTACGGATGAAACAACGAAATCAGGCATTGCTAAAAACATTGAGTTCTCTTCGGTGCGTTATCTTAGCGAGACAGAGACGAACTAGTTTTTTGCGTTAGTGAAATAGCTTTAATATTTTTGTATTTTTGTGATCAATCGTTTTTAATATTTTATAGTGAGATACTATTTATGTTCAGTGCGTTTCAAGTCGTTTTTAACATTTTACAGTGAGATCCTAAAAATGTAAGTTAAATTATGTTTATTTTAAAATAATTTATATGTTTTGTACACTTATGACAAATTAATGAATTAAAAAAAAATCACTTTTAAAAGTGTGTAAAATCTGATAACTTTTTGTTTATTTTAATATTTTTTGCAAAAGATTGATATGTATTGTAAAAGCTTGTCATAAATTAATAAATTAAAATGAAAAGTGTTTTAAAAGTATGTAAAGCATTTAGTTTCTAAAATGTATAAAGCCAAAGGATCTTAGCTAGAAATTAAATGCTTTACAAACTTTTAAAGTACTTTTCTTTTCAATTCATTTTTTTTAATGTTTTTCTTAAACTTAACCAATATTTAACATTTTATCTATTATCTAAAACCTACCGGTTTTACAGGGAAAGTAACAATAGAAAAGTGGTCCATAGATAAGGGAGGCAAATTATTTTTAACGTTTATTCATTTATGAAACGGGAAAAAGATTTGGGATATTGCACAACTCCTTTACCCCTAATAGTGGGAGTGGCTCAAGCAACTGGTACCTCAGAAAGTACGGTAAAAAGGATAACTAAGGAAGGTAGAAACAAATCAGCAACTTCACAATTTGTATCACCCAGAACAAGTATTTGCAAGCCCAGCCCCAAGTCATCAGTCAATCCATTTGAGGAATACGTCATAAGAAATACCATTTACACGTTTGCTACCATCTACAAAAGAAGACCTACCATGAAAACTGTTTACGAATCTGTTAGAAACGAAGGAATTGTAACTGGTAAACTATCTTCTTTCAGAAAAATTGTGAAAAAATTAGGATTTAGGTGGAGAAAAGTGGAAGACAATAGAAAAATTTTAATTGAAAAAACTGACATAAGAGCCAAATAAACAGAATGTCTAAGAAAACTGAAAAAATACAAATCTGAAAGTAAGATATTTATTTATATTATAACTAATTTTAAAGTAATTGACAATTTTTTTTACATAGAAATATTGTATATAGTGACGAAACTTATATATATATATATATATAGTTCCCACACAGTTCCAAAAGGTTGGGATGATGGACGAAACAAGTACATAACATCTCCGGTATCTAAAGGGCAACGACTGATCATCTTACATTGTGGTGGTAAAAATGGATTTGTCGAAAATGCCGCTTTTATTTTCAAATCCGGACAAAAAACTGGTGATTATCATGATGACATGAATCACCAGAATTATATGAAGTGGTTGAAAGACAAACTTCTTCCCAATTTACCTTCCAAGTTAGTTTTAGTGTTAGACAACGCCTCATATCATAATGTGACTCTTGAAAAATCTTATACATCGGCTTCGAAAAAAAAAAATCATAAAAAAATGGTTGACAAAAAGAAATATATTTTTCGATGAAAGCGAAACAAAACAAGCTCTACAGTAAGATACTCATTGCTAAACCTAAAAATCCAGTATATGCTGTAGACCAATTATTAGCACAGCACGGCCACTCGGTTTTACGTTTACCACCATATCATCCGGAACTTAACCCAATTGAAAAGATATGGGCCATTTTAAAAAATGAAGTTGCAGCAAGAAACACGACTTTTAAATTAGCAGATGTTCTAGAACTAGCAAAAATTAGGCTAAATGAAATCACGCCAGAAATATGGGCAAATACTTGCAGGCATGTTGATAAAGTAGAAGAAGAGTACTTCAGCCGAGAATACATTCTGGATGAAGCGCATGAGATCATTATAAATTTAGATGATGATAGCGAATCATCTGAAACAGAACTCTCTGATAGCGACGACGACGACGGCTACAACAATGACCTATGAATACAAACTTATCAAAGTGGCAAGCTCGGTATTCCGTCCCTCCATGTATATTTTTTAGTTCTTTTAACATTTTATTAATTATTTCATTTCTTATTTAGTTTTAATTAACGTGTATGTGTGTGTGTGTGTGTGTGTCTTATCGTGCGTAACCTAACACTCCGTCTCCATGTAGATGCCGCATTAATATTCTTAAATACTTAGAGACTATTCCGGTTGCACAGTCAAATTGAGTATATAATATCAGGACCATCTAGAGAGTGTCATATAACCCCATAAAAGTAAATAGTTTATCACCCTCCATCCAAGTGCAAGAACGAAATTCCAGTTTTCAGTCCAGCGCGCTGAAGAAAGAAGAGAGATATAACCTTCATTATTGAAGGTAGTGTACATCTAATTTAAATAGCAG